CCTCTCACACTGTCTTCTCCAGAAGGTTGCTACTTGCTGAATTCATCAAGCTTTTAGTAAAGCAAAGACCCTCATAGACAGAACCTGTCTCATGGCCCGTCAGATTTACCAAGAGACAAGATGGCAAGTTGGCTTGCCCCTTATCTACTGTGTGAGTGTGGGCAAGTGACTTTGCCTCCCTGCACCTCCGTTTGCACACGTGTAAAATGTCTGTCTCTGAGCAGTGTTGAGAATATTCAAGGAAGGACACCCTTTAGAGCACTTGGAACTGTACCTGGCACATAGTAAGTGCTTCATAGGGGTGATGGCTGTTACCACTGAGTATGGCACCCATGCTGGCAGCTGGGATACAGAGCCTGGCAGATGCCTTCCCTGTCTTCAGGAACTTGCCCACCTTGTGTGCAAGAATAACAAATCACCCAACTCAATACAAAGCATTAGAGCTGGACTAGGCCCTAGACCTTTGTTCATCAGAACACCTGGTTGGCTTTGATTTTTTTTTCCCCCTGTTTTTCTCCAGCTCCATAAAGAGTGGTACATTGGTTAGGAGGTATTTGCCTGCAAGTGACAGAAAGCCTAACTCAGGAAGGCAGGAAGAATTAAGGGGATTTATCATCACATAATAAATCCAGAGCTAGTGTGGCTCTGGGGCTGGTTAGTTCTATAGCGAAGTCCTCATGAACCTGCTCCACTCATGACCCATGCTGGCTGCTGTGGCCCCAAGCAAAACCAGTGTCCTGCAGAAGAAGAGGAAAGAGCTTCTCTTTGTTTTCAAGAGTACCTGCCCCTGAATCAACCCCTGGCAAAGTTACATTGAACCTGCATAACTGTCTTAAACTGTCAGAATTTACTTAAGTCACATGGCAGAGGGATGGCTGCCAGAGCAGAATCAGGGTTCCACCAGCAAGGACAAGGATGATGTTGGCTGTTGGGATGGTAGCCATCAGTGGCTGCATCCTCCATCCACCTTTTTACCCAGTCATCCTGTAATTCACCCATCCATTGTCCTATCAATCAGGGTAGGAGTTTGACAGCAGGCCGGAGCCTTCCCCTAAGAAGATGCTCTTCCTCATGTTCCTGTCTGTTTTGTTACTTTCCTCTGTGGCCAAGTAGGAAGCTCAAGGCCAACATTTCAGCAGCCAGACCCTCTGATCTTAAGGCAACCTCCACCTCAGCTTCCCCAGGATCAGTCAATTTGTCTAACTTGTGCCTGGAGACCCCTGAAACTGCAGCTAGTTAGTTACCCCACTAAAACTCCCAAACCCTCTCTTTATCTTTGAAGTTATTTCCAATTCCAAGAAAATATAAGAGTACATTACATTTTCTTAGATGAGATTAAAGATATATTTGATCTCTTGTTCTGGGGATTCTTGAGCAGAGCTGTGCATAGTGAGATGCTGAAATGTCCCAATTTCCAGTCAACTTGACCACCTATGGCAGTAATAGAATGGCCCCAAATGAGACATATTGAGCACCCCAAAGAATGGTCAGCATAGGCCAGTCAGTTTACACTGGTATTATTATATGAATGGACAAAGTACAGGTTGTCTTGGTTGAGGACAGTAGCTGAGAAGTGAAGCATAGTAGATATGTCCCACTAAAGTTAGGATTAGGTTTAGCGGCATAACATAGAAAACTGATATTCAGACAAGATAGATTCTTTCTCCCATATTATCAGGGACCCAGGCTCCTGCTCACCGATGCTGTGCCATCCTCGGCCTGTTGCCTGCTTGTTTTAAAATGGTTGCTGGAGCTTCAACCTTAAGGAGATGAAGAGGCAAAGGCACCAACAGCACACCTCCAGAGATTTCCTGGAAGTCTTATGCAGCACTTTATTTTTTTTTTTTTTATAATCTTCACTCAAGGATACGTTTATTGATTTTTGATTTGAGAGAAAGAGAGAAACATCACTGTGAGAGAGAAACACTGATCACTTGCCTTCCGTATACACCCCTACTGGGAATCGAACCTGCAGCCCTTTGTTGCCCGGGGCAGTGTTCAACCAAGTGAACCACCCAGCCAGGGCCACATGCAGCACTTTGAACTTATTGGCCAGAACTGAAAGGGAGCCTGGGAAATGTAGTCTGTAAACTGATGACACTGCTTCCCCAAATACAGTTGGGATTCTGTTGCCAGGGCAGAAGCAGAGAATAGATATTAGGTGAGCCGCTGGCCGTGTCTGCCACTTGTACCTTTCACTTTCCTCTGGCTAACCCCAACCCCTGCTAATGTTTTCCTTTAGTGCTCAGGATTTGATACAGACATTTTGGAAAAATGGAATAAACATGTCCATACTTCAGTTTCCAGCTATGGTGGAGCCACATTTTACCAGGCAGTTGCCTGGCTTCTAAGTCACCCATTAAGGTGAAGATGACTTTATTGTTTTGGCTCTGTCTTCCTTTCCGGGAGGCATTAAAAATCAAAGTCTGAGAGAGTAGGGATAATATGTACATTATGGACAGGTGAGTAGAGTTTAGTTTTCAGAAAATCCAGTGCACCCCTGAAGCACCTCTCTGTTCACCTGGAGGTGTTGAGGCCTACGCGTTTGAAGTTGGTCTTTGCAGAGGCAAACCTGGCTTTGTGGCCAGCAAGGTGACCCTGGAGAGGTTAACTTCTCTTTGGGATGTTGGGAGTCCCAGTTTATCACCCTCCCAATTTGCAAGTATAGACACAAGCAGCCAAATGGGAAATATCAATGTCAGCTTGATGAATGGAGGCTCAGTAACCCCCCAGAGTACATGGTCTGTGTCAGTGGGGTGCTCCTGGCTGCAAGTGATCAAAATTTGACTAGTTCAAACACTAGGAATTTGTTATCTCAGAGAAATGGAGGCTCAGGGCAGGCTGCAGGGAGGATCAATGAAGCATTTTGACAACATTTTCAAGAGCCTAGTTCCTTCTGCCTTCTCTCTCCCACCCTCAGCATTGCCCTCATCCATCCTCAGGCTGTAGCAAGTAAGTAGCAAGAGATTTGTGGTGTTATATCTGGAGGTAGCAACCCCTGAATGAAGAGAGGCCATCTTTCCTCATCATCTCTCTTAAAAGCAAGAGACTTTTCCCCGAAGCCCCCCAGTGGACTTTCCCCATTTCAGTCAGGTTATTCTGGGTAAGACACATTTGAAAATCTCAGTGACTTATATCAGTAAAAGTTTATTTTGCACCCACACTGTAGCTCCAGTGTCAGTTGGCAGGAGACTTCTCAGGACACAGGCTACCCGAGCAGCCACCACATTCAAATCACTCCCCACACAACTTACTAACAAGAACTAGTCACACATCCCCACCCAGCCAATATCAAGGGGCCAGGAAGTAGTACATTCCTGCAACATGCTTGCCTTGTGGACAGCCAGAAGTATTGGGTTGGCCAAAAAGTTCATGTGGCTTGTTTCATAAAATAAAGGACACACTTTTCATTTTCACCAGTAACTTGGATATTTTGAATATGTTGGCTATCTCCCACGAGGTATAATGTTGATCGTTCTCAGTTAATGTCTCGATTTCATCTCTATAAACTTAAACTGGTCTACCTGACCATGGCACACCGTCCAGCAAGAAATCTCTAGCACAAAAGTTGGCAAACCACTTTTGGCACGTTCAATCAGTCACAGCACCTTTTCCATACACTGCACAATCTTTTTTTTGCATTTCAGTTGTGTTTTTACCTTTCTTGAAGTAATAAAGCATTATATGCTGAAAATGTCACTTTCTTCCATCTTCAATATAAAATGGCTACACAAAAATTCACCAGTTTTGATGGGTTTTGTTTCTTTTTTTAATGCATGCTGATGTGACAGTTATCACAATACAATCTAACAAAATTGTTTCAAATGCAGTTAAAGACAACTAAGTGCTACTAGAGCCATCTTACCAGGAGGAAAAAAAAAAACAAACTTTTGGCCAACCCACTATTTTGTGGGAACCTTAATAGCTCATACACTCTCACATCTCAATGACCAAAACTGTGTCACATGACTGGCTCTCATCTGAGCTGGAATGGGCGTTGGGAGGTGCTCACAGAGTTCACTCCAAAGCATAGAGAATGCCACTGGGTTGTAAGGCCCCAGGGAGAATCTTCTACCATTTCTTTTACATCTCAGTCCCTGCCTGTGGCTGTGCAGAGCCAGCCTCCAGGAGAATCTCTGTCTAGAAGACAATTCTTTATTTTACCCACTCCAAAACCCTGTGAGGTAGAAAGTGGTGTTACACCTTTTTTCAAATGGGAAAACTAAAGCCCAAACTGATGAACATTTGCCCAACCAAGGTCATGCTGCTAGTAAGGAATGAAACTGGGATTTGGGCCCAGATCTCCTCATTCCATAGCCTAAGCCCACAGTTTCTCCCTGCAGCACCTTCCTCCAACAGACATACACAGAGCTCTGCAGGCTAGTTGTCGGAGCTTAGCCTGTGTCATATATCAGCCTCAGGCTAAGTACTAACACACAGGATGTCATTCAGTCCTACGAGGAAGGGCCTACTGTGATTGCCTCTTGACAACTAGGGAAACTAAGGCTCCAGGCTAAAAAGTGACTGCCTGGCTGGGCAAGAAGCAGTGGTGAGGTTTAAACCTCAACGTACCCAGCTCGAAGCCTCTTGTACGTACACATACTGCCTTATCCTCCTCTTCACCAGAGAGAAAGGGAGCCCAAGACAGGCCTGGGATGGGGAGCTGCTGACAACAGCTCACCCCATTTTACAGCCAAGAAACAGGACCCCTGAAAAGCCTGTGAGTAGGGCCATCAGCCTAAGTGGCTTCTGCCCCTCTTTCTTTGAGGACCCCTTGTCACCCTACGCCCCCTGCCACCAACAACAACTTGGCCTACTTCCCAGGTGCGACTCATTTCTGACCCTCAGGTTATACACATTTCCAAGCTTACTCTTCTAGCCTCCCCTCTGCTTGGAGCCTCTCTGGTATTGGAAACCCACTGGAGAGCAAGTCTCAGTTTCAGGTGGTTTTTGACACACCAGCCCTTTACCCTGTGCTTGTTCCTCTCACTCCCCTACAGGTATGCAGCTGCCCCACACCCACTGCTGTCTTTTGATCCCCACTTCGGCCACGATGGGACATCCAGCGGGGACTCCTCCTCAGGTGGTCTGACCAGCCAGGAGAGCACGATGGAACGCCAGAAGCCAGGTAGGGTTTCCCCAAGCCAGCCGTGCCCACCTGTATCACTCCGCAGGACTGCTACTTAGAGTTTGACAGGTAACACCCCTCCTTCTGGCAGATGGATAAAACAAAGGAAAGCTGTAAGAGCCACACATAAGATTAGACAGGTCACCCAGGAAAATAGCAAGACCAAGGAGTGATTCTTCTCCATCTAGACGGGGCATCAGCAGATGGTGTCTGCCAACACTGTCAGCCAAGATTCTGGGTAGAGATGTGTGACATGAGGGTGGCAATCACCAGAGGTAAGAGCTAAAAAGGACTAAAAGCGGTGCTCTCGGAGCAGAGCCGACTAAATTCTGAGGCATTTCATTGCACAGGCCCTGTTGCATTATACAGGGTCTAGGAGAAGTAAGGTCTGCTTGAGTATGGCTGGTAGGATAATAATATGGGCTAATAATTTATAGTTTTAATTTGAACTTCTCACCTAAAATGTCATACAGTGTGCTTGAATGTGATAGTTGTTACAGAATTACATCCTTATCATTTTATAATAAAAAGGGGTTTTATTTGTGCCAGACCCTGTATTTTTTACTATTACGCAGGTACAGTACATAACTGAGAAAAGAGTCCAAATTATGAGTGTCCAGTATGATACCGTATCACAAAGTGAACATGTGTCTTGTCTTGTTCCACCCTACGACAAGAATGTGGTCAGCCTACAAAAGTCCTTGTGCCCCTCCCAGTTAGCACCCACACAGGCCATCCTGTCCAGCTTCTCATAGCTGAACTTCATCTTGCCTGGTTTTGAATTTCATGTACATAGACTATAGGCTCGCACTGGATGCATTTTGTGTGTCTGTCTGGCTTCTGTTACTCAGTATTATGTTGGTGAGCAGTGCCCATGTGACTAGATGTAGTAACACAATTTCTGAGTAGTATTTATCCATCATTGTCTGAATGACCTACAACTGATTACTCCATTCTAATGGTGATGGACATTTGGGTGGTTTCCAGTTTGGGGATGCTTAGAACAGTGCTGCCAAGGATGAGCATTGTGTCTGCCTTTTGACGAGCACCAGCTCACATATTTGTAGAGTGTATACCTGGGAGTGGAATTGCTGGGGCATATGTTTAACTTTATAAGAGACCTTTTCCCAAAGTGACAAACCATTTCACACACCTATAAATGACAGCTGAGAGTTGTACTTGCTCATGTCCTTACCAACTTTTTCTTCTTTTTTTTTTAAAGGGAACTGGTCTGGCGTGTGTGTGTGTGTGTGTGTGTGTGTGTGTGTGTGTGTGTGTTTAATTGATTTTTAGAGAGAGGGGAAGGGAGAAAGAAACATTAATTTATTGTTCCACTTACTTATTAATTCATTGGTTGGTTCTTTTATGTGCCCTGACCAGGGATCAAACCTGCAGCCTTGGTATATCGGGATGACGCTCTTACCTGAGCAAGCCATCCAGGGCCTCACCAACCTTTTCATTTCAGCCATGTAGTGGTAACACAATGTGGTTTTAATTTTTCTGGTGCCCAATGCAACTATATTCTCATCTGTTTATTCTCCTATATGTAATGATTATTGTGTGTACATACACTTAGATGAATATTTTAAATATAACTTTGCCTAACAAACTGTAGTGCCTTTGAAGTCTTGAAAACCATCAGATGAATGGGTAGATTCTAAAGAAGGAAAACTAATGATGTTGTCAGACATGGGAGGGGGAAGAGGTGAAGATGTCCACTTAGGGGATGTTCCAGAATTCCCAAGTAGCTCGGGATGACCATGTCGGCACATGAACAGCTCCTCCAGGCACTGTGCGGTGGTGAAGAGGTTGCATAGCCCAGGACTAGCAGCCTAGAGAAGCCCCTGGTACCCAGCCCCATAGTTCCCTTAAACCAGGGAAAACGGATGGACTTCAGGCAAGCAGGTTGCCTTCCATGGCCTGCAGACGTGCTTGCCTGCCTATCTCTGCCTGCAAGTCTGTGGCTTTTGCTTCAAGACAAATTTGTATTTTTTTCCCCCACTCCTGTCCAGTTCCAAAAAAGAAAAAAGCATTGCGTATGATTTCATTACACTAAATTGTAAAATGGGGAAGGAAGTTTTCCAGCATTTACCATGGGCCCCAAATAAGGTGTCACAGAAGCTCACCATTGTCTTTACCATCTCCTCTTTTGTCTCCTAGAATTTCGTTCCCCTCTCACTTCCTTGGGGCCTTGTTATAAATTGACTGACACCTTCTCCCCCTCCCCTGTACCCCCACACAAATCATGAAGTCTAGAATGTACTCAGGATCCAGAAAAAGGTAGTTCAGGCCGGGGGGAATCAGGCACTGCAACAGACATGGGGGTTTCCCCAGCCTTGACCAGCTGATGATAATCATAGTAAGAGCAACACGGTTTTGTGTGCCTGTTATATAGTAACAGTTACTTGGTTTTGTATGCCCAGCACTGTACTGGATACTCCACATTTTCTCCTATTTAATCTCCTCAGGAACACAACAGCATGGGCACTTTTCATGCCCCAGAAGAAATGAGGAAGATGAGGCACAGAAAGGTTGTCACTTGGCTGAGGTTCCTGCTGACAAGTGTCATCTTTGAGATTTGAACCAAGGCCATTTGGGGTCTAGAACCACCCCCCATTAACCCCCACTGTCCCCAGACACCACCTATAATTCCTTACCTGCAGAGTGTGATCATTTCTCAAGCCTCAGAGCCCCCAGGTTGAGAAGGTGTCCCCAGGATCACCAGCTGCCCCAAGTCCATGCCTGTTCATGATTTCAGCATGTGAGGGGTGAAGCAGTGGAGTCAGAAGGTCACTGGAGACCAGTTCAGAGGTCCAGTGAAGGGCCCAGGATCAGGGCCAGCCAAGGGTAGAGCCAGGGACACTGGGGCAGCCAGAGAGGGGAAGGAACCTGGCCAGGTTCCTGTACCAATGAAATTAAAGGTACACCAGGCTGAGCACCAGGGATATGGTTTTAGCCAAACAGATACATCCCTTGCCTACTTGGAGCTAACAGTCTGGTGGGAAAGACAGACAGTGGACAGCACACACAATGATTAAGTACTTAATGGACAGCACACACAATGATTCAGTACTTACCCATGAAACTGAGTATCAAGTGGGAACTAACACAGGGCTGAGAGACAGATCGATGGCATTTGGGGGAATCTCTGAGCAAATCATATTTTAGGCAAGGCTGAAAGAATGCAAAGGGACAAGCTGAGAGAACATTCCAGAGGAGACAACAGCTAGTCGACAGCTCTGAGCTGGCAGCGAGGCTGGTGTTGGAGGAACAGTAGAAGGCCCATGTGGCTGGGAAACCATGTGAGAGGTGACTGGAACAGAATGCGTGGTACAGAGGTGGGATGGGACCTGACTCAGGTGATTGCATGATCTCTTTTACTACAGATTTTTGCCGGGTCAGGACATCGGAGAGGGAAAGATGGGTGGGTTCTGGATCTGGTCGTTTGAAAGTAGAGTTGACAGAATTTCCTAATGCTTCAATGTGGGTAAGAGAGAGAGGAATCAAAGGTGATACCAGGTTTTTGACCTGAGGAGCTGAAAGGATGGAACAGCCATTTACTGAACAGGAAAGACTGAGAGATGCAGGTTTTGGAGGGAGAGGAAGAGTTGGTTTTGGCCAGGTGTTGTGAGGAAGCCATATATATAAGTCTGAAGTCAGGAGAGAGGCCCAGACCAGGCCCAGTGTGGTGTTCAGGCCAGATGTGACAGCCATAGGCGTGGCTTTCTGTAGAAATGTGGTTTCCTGGCATGGGCTGGCTGCCTCCCAGGGGACCAGCACCTCCTGGGGATGTGGGATGCTCCAGAAAGGATAATCATTTCCAGAGATAGAGCAGGTGGCCAGCCTCCCTGCTGTCTTGTATCCATGGCTCCCAAGTGAAAGCCACACAGGCAGTGGCAGCTGGACTATGCCAACCAGGCTGCTCTCTGCAGTGACCCGAGTGCCGTATCTTGTCCAACAGGCCCACCTTTCCCAGAGCATTTATAAGATTGATAGATATTAACTAGCCCTCCACTGGGTTTTTTGTGTTTTTGTTTTGTTTTATTTAAGTCAGATGCTCAGTTCAGCTAACTGGCTTTGGGATTTTAGACTAATTTATTTACACCACACCAGCCACCACAATTTTAAACCTGTTTCACATTTGAACCAGCAATTCCACTTGTAGAATTCTGTCCCAGACACAATCCTGCACTTGCCCAAAGTTGTGTGTAGACGGAAGGCTTCCAAAACATTGTTGTAAAGAAAAATTAAAAATAACCAAAATGTCTGCAGTAGGAAACTAGTTTAATAATTGACATCCATCCACATGCTGGAATATTGTGCAGCTATTAAAAATAAGATTCCTTCATGTTCAGTTATGTGAAGGTATATCATGAAGACATAAAGCAAAAGCAAGTGTAAGGATATTGTAAAGTGAAAATCAACTTGTAGGACAGTGTTTAGTGTCCCATTTTCATTTAACCAAAAATAAATAAATAAATTGTGCTCATTTAACCAACAAAGGATTGCTACCTTGCATATATAAAGAACCCTATACACCAAAAAAATAAAAAATAGTCAATCCTATGGAAAACTGAGTAAAGGATATGAGCAAGTTATTTACAAAATAAACAAATGGTCAGTAAGGATGGAAATGTGCTACGCCTCCCTTGGAGATAAAGATGGAGGGTTATTGTAAAGCTTCAATGAGTTTACCCATGCAAAGCACTAGAATGGGGCCTGGCACAGCCAAAGCACTCAGTAAATATTCCATTACTGAGCACTGTTATACCTCCAAGATGTAGGTTGATGGGGTCATGGCCATTTGTGAGATGCGCAGACAAGCTGGCAGAGGGGCGGCGGCTCTATCACAAACCATATTTAGGGCCAGATTCTTTGGGCGGACTCAGGCCAGAACTTGAGTCACCTCTAACCACTGATGTGTCTCCTGTCTTCCTGCAGAACCTCTGTGGCATGTGCCTGCCCAGGCCCGGCTCTCAGCCCTGGCTGGAAGCAGCGGGAGCAAACACACCTCCAGGCAGGACACAGCAGGCAAAGATTCCCCCAACAGGCATTCCAAAGTAAGTCTGGCCCCCACCTGCTCCGCCTGCCCCACCCCGGGGAGTCCAAGCTGTAGGCATTGGCTGTTTGGTTTACCATGACTGCTGTGGTCCAGGCAGCTTCACCTGCCTGGTATGGGTATGGGCCTGGGCCTCTGAACTCCACACATGAGCACATTCTCTACTTTTGCCACCTTCCACTCAGGCTAAATGCCGGAGTTAGAGCTAGCCATGTGCACATCCTGGCTCCAGCCCTCACCAGTCATGTCATCTAGAGCAAATCACTTCCCTTCCTCGAGACACGCTTCCCTCATTATTACATCAGTCATGGGCTTTGTAACAAAAATGCCATGTACTGGGTTAGTTTAATAAACAGAAGATTATTTCTTATAGTTCTGGAGACTGGGAAGTCCAAGATACAGTGTCTGGTAAGGGCCCATTTCCTGGTTCATAGACAGCCTTCTCACCTCGTGTGCTGGAAAAGGAAAGGAGGCTCTCTGGGGTCCTTTTTAAGGGCATGAATATACATACAGATTTTATAATCCTGTTCATGAAGAATATGTAAATATACATATAGGAAAATATATATATAAGGATTTAAAAATCCCATTTATGAGGGTTCCACCCTCATGACCTAATCACCTCCCAGAGGCCCTGCCTCCTGAAACCATCTCACTGGGAATTAGGATTCAACATAGGGATTTTGGGAACACAGACATTCAGTCTGTGGCACTGGGTTAACAACTATAACAGGCAGGCCCTGAGTCCCAGTGACCTAACAGTACAGTTCAGTTCGGGTATTCAATGAGCACCTGAACCACGTGGTGGTTCAAGAACCCAGTGTGTAGTTCCTGTGACTCAGGGCCTTGGAGCCCTCTGCTGGGTCCCTGCCTCTTTCCAACAGTTGGGGATGGGAGGGAGAGGGATTCACATGGGAAGGTTTTTGCAGCCCAGGCCTGAAAATAGCATAAATCACTTTCCCTTGTTACATTGACCAGCACTTCGTTCATGACCACACTTCATTGCAAGGGAAGATGGAGAATGTAGTCCCGTGTACCCAGGAGAAGGAGATAGTTTTGGGTGAGCATTTAGCAGTCTGTTCACATCCATTCATTCAGTGAGTGTTTGATGAGCACTTACAATGTGCCGGGCATTGGGGCTACAGTGATAAAGAGAACAGATGAGTCCTTGTGCTCACAAAGCTGACATGCCAGTAGGGCAGTAAGCAATAAGCAGGTAAACCAATACATCATGTAACACCAAGAGCTAATACTTGCTTGGACAGGAAAACAAAGCACAGTTAAGGGAAAAGAGAGTGTCAAGCACTGGTGCTTTAGGATGAAGTGGTTAGAAAAGGCCATTGAGGAGGTGACCTGTAAGCAGTAACCCTGAATGAAGTAATGAGTGAGCCATGAAAACATCTGGGGGAAGAGCATTGCAGGCAGAAGGAACAGCAAGTACAAAGGCCCTGAAGTGGGGGTGTGTCTGGCATGCTCGAAGAGTAGCAAGGAGGCCAATGTGGCTGGAGCAGAGTGAGCAAGAGGGAGGGAGAGATGGAGTGAGAGACCAGAATATGGGTCCAGGTCGCTCAGGGGCCTTGATGAGGACTCTTCTTTTCCCCTGAGTGAGGCTGAGCCACGGGAGGGTTCTAAACAGGGAAGGGACGTGAACTGACACGGGTGTTCACAGCCTCCCTCTGGCAGCAGTCAGGGTTGCAGGGGAGACAGGAACAGGAGCAGGGAGACCAGGGAGGAGGCTGCTGCCATGGTCCGGGAGGAGGCAGTGGATGGAGCCGCAAAAGGAGAAGTGGTGGGTTCTGTTCTGTTTTTAAGCTGGCAACAGGATTTACTGTTGGACTGGACATGGTGTGAGAGCAAAATCAGGGTCCAGGGTGACTCCAAAGCTCTTAGACGGGGCAGCTGAAAGGATGGAGATGCCACTGTAGAGACAGAGCGAGGCAAATTCAGGAAGGAAGGCCAGGAGCTGAGTTTCAGACATGTTGAGCTTGAACTGTGAGCTCACGTTACATACGTAATGTCCTTCCCTTTGAGCAACCCCATTTTACATATATGGAAACTGAGGCACAAGGCACATGGACAGTAAATGAGGGAACCAGAGTTGGAAGCTGTCTGGCTCCAGGAGTCATGCTCACTAAGGACCCAAGAGGGGAACATTTGCGCCCACCCAGGAGTCCAAGGATGACATACTTCTCTTGCCTTCCAGGGAGAGCCTCAGTACTCCAGTCACTCCAGCAGCAATACCCTGTCCAGCAACGCGTCCAGCAGCCACAGCGACGATCGCTGGTTTGACCCCCTGGACCCTCTGGAGCCAGAGCAAGATCCCCTTTCCAAGGGTGGCTCCAGCGATAGCGGCATTGATACCACCCTCTATACCTCCAGCCCCAGCTGCATGTCACTGGCCAAGGTGCCTCGGCCAACCAAGCCACACAAGCCCCCAGGAAGTATTGGCCTTTGTGGGGGTGGGCGCGAGGCCAGCGGGCGGTCCCACCAAGCAGACAGGCGGCGAGAGGTCTCTCCTGCCCCTGCAGTTGCTGGCCAGAGCAAGGGCTACCGACCAAAGCTATACAACACAGGCTCCAGCACCCCCACAGGCCTGGCCGGGGGCAGTCGTGACCCACCAAGGCAGACCAGGTAAGGCATGCTCCTTGCCCGAGCCCTTTTGGTGGTCCTGACCCCTTTCTGCTTCCCACACAATCTTGATGGCAGGGTCCCCTTCACAGAAACATGCTTACAGATGTATGAACTTGCACAAGAGTTCGCTTACAAAGTTCAGAGACTCATGGAGCACCCCATGCTGCCCACCCATCAGTCTTTTAAGGACCCAATAGAGGGAGAGAAACCCCTGCCTGTCTTCATCTGTCCCTGATGTTCTCTGTCTCTCTTTCCTTCTGCCTCTGCTGAGACTCATGGTTTCTGTGCTTTCTGGGGTCACAGACTGTATCTGTCAGGAGTGTGTTTAGCTGGAGATAATAGGAACCTTGACCTACAGTGGCTTAAACCAATAGAGGTCTATCAGTCAGGGCAAGTCCAGAGAGGACAGAGCCAGGCTGGTGCAGCAGCTCAGGGAGGGCCTCAAGGCCTTGCACCCTGTTTATTCCTGCTCCACCATTCCTATCATACAGACTGGTTTTGGGAAATGTGAGGGTAGAGAACAGAGGAAAGATTGCAGCATCTGTGTCACTCCTTTTGTATGGAGAAAGCAAAAGCTTTCCCAGACTCCCCTTTAGCTAGCAGTGTCACAAGACCACCCCAGCTACAAAGAAGTGTGGGAGATCACAGTGTAGCCTTCCAGCCCACGCAGTAAAGGGCAGTGGTCCCCAGACAGTCCCCTGGAGGGCTGTTCAACACAGAAGCTGGGTCCCACTCAGAGTTTCTGATTCAGTAGGTCAGAGTGGGGCCTAAGAATATGCATTTTATAAAAGTTCCCAGTAAATACTGATGCTGCAGGTTCTAGGATCACACTTTGAGAACCACTGGTAGAGAGAAACAGGCCGGGGAGTAAGAAAGAACAGACACTGGCAAACCAGCAACCTGGAGTCTGAACCACACGCTTTGAGAACCTGAGGAAAGCCATGAACCACCCCCAAGAAAAATGCACAGAGGTGAGGGATTCCTTCTGCAGTCATAGAACTCATACCCCTTCAGAGGCCCGTGGCCTCAGGCAAGAATTACTGAGCTGCCATCCCCAGGGCTGATCGTCCCCGGGCAGATCCTCAAGGCCACAGTCTTCCTTCCCTTCCCAGTCACCCCTAAGCAGAGCCAGCTGAGGTCTGAGACCCTCGTCCGGGGTCCTAACCTCCATTGGCGTTCTGATACCTTTGCCAGTCCTCAAACCTGCAGCCTGTCTCCACACAGGACACATGCATCCGGCGGTAGCCTTAGGCCTCCTTGACACAACCTGCAGTGGATTTATATGTATGTGTTTTAAAAAAAAAAAAAAGGTGAAGCAAAAATTTCCCAAATAATCCTTAGCCTGTGTGCAAAGCACTTGGGTCTAGTCTCATCTGTTTAAAATCTTGGAATGCTGATTCCTACCTCTTGAAATGATAGGATTTAGCGGTAGTTCTGTGGTGGATTTGGATTTCACAGTGCCCATATGTCAGTGCTTCCCCTCCCCTGGTGCACGGATCCCAAGTCAAGGGACCCAGAAGAGGGGTGACAGTGAAGAGAGAGTGTGACAGTGAGCTCAGTCTCTGTCTCAGCCCGCCTCCCTAGACAGATAGTTCTTAATCATTGGAACTGACTCTTTTGACAGTGCCTTCATTCATTTACTTATCCATCCTCTTCACTCACAAATATTTCTTAAGGATTTGTTACATCCCAGACATTGTGCTGATTGCTGAGAAGAGATAATAACCCCCAGCCCTCAGATGAGGCTCCCAGCCATCACCTCAGCCCACCGCCAATTGCAACAGATGAGAATCAGGTCATCAGTGAGACAAATGGTCAAAGTGCCCCACTAAAGGACTCGCTGTCACCAGGGTCCCACATCTCTGTTGCCGTGGCCCCTGTGCTGGGCAGAGACCTATATTAGTGACCTGAGTAACTATATTATTGTGAAATCTGTGACATAAAGGTTGGAGCACTGGGGAGTAGAATGTGGCTGAGGCAGGAGGTGGATATAAAAATTACCCTGTGTCTGAGAGAAGGAAGGATTTGCCGAACCCAGAAATGAAGACAATAAAATGGGAGAGGAACCCGCTACAAAAAAGGGCCCTGGGGTTGGGAGCTTTAATTTGCATACAGACAATTGATGCTAATTGCAAATCGTTCTTATCTACTCATTAAAGCTGCTTCCTGAAGTTTTCTCCTAGGCAACCGGGCTCTAGAGTGGAACAGCATTTCCCAAAATGGGGTGCTCAAACTGATTTGGGTGGTACAGGAGGAAAATGTTGTATTTTAAATGGATGTATGTTTGCTTTAATGGGTATTAAGGAAAGTGTTACCGCTCATCCCCTGATTTTCCAGATACTGCCTTGGACAAGTTCAGGAAAATTAAGTGAGGTGATCTAAAGAAACATCTTCATGGTAGGTGAGAGTATGGGCTCCAGAATCAGCCCACCAGGGTTCAGGCCCTCCCTCTGCATTGTCTTGGCTGTGTGGTCTTCAGCAAATAACTGAACCTCTCTGAGCCTCAGTTTCCTCATCTGTGAAATGGATAGAGGATAAATCTCATAACTACCTCATAGGGATGTGGTAAGGATTAAATGAGCCAGAGCCCTTAGACCAGTACCTGGCAATGGATGTCAAGTCAAGTTTGGCTGTTGTTAGAATCACAGAGGATGTTATGAAAAGATGAGATCTGCCTCAACTAACTAAATCAGAATGTCTCTCCTGGGCCAAACCTGTTACAGGCAATGAGGGGACACTATGATGACCAAGACAGCCTTGGGCCTACCCTCTCAGGGGTCAAAGTCCAGTGGCACCCTGGCTAGGTGGCTCAGTTGGTAGGAGTGTCATCCCATAACCCAGAAGGTTGGGGGTTTGATTCCCAATCAGGACACATGCCTAAGTTGGGAGTTTGATCCTGGGTCAAATCCCTGGATCTGGAAGCCTACAAGAGGCAACCGATTGATGTTTCTGTCTCTCCCTTCCACTTTCTCTAAAAGCAATGAAAAAATGTCCTTGGGTGAGGATAAAAATAGGGTAGACAGACTGTCCCCAAACAGTGCTGGTTGGGGTAAGGGAATACCTGGGATGAAGGAGCCCAGAAGAGGGGCCTGACCCAGTTGGGAGAAAGGTTCTCCTGGATATAAGAGGCTGAGCTAACCACAGAACCAGGAGAGCAAGAGTATTCTAGAGAGACGATGTGCAAGACCCACTGTCAGCCTCACTCCTGCCTCACTTTGCTAAGCCTACCACAATCTTCCCATTTCAGTAGGCACAAGTTCCCAGACGGTCACTGAGCACCTGTGCTCAAGGTGCCCACACATGCCTCTGCCTGCTGTGCCCACACTGCCTTCTGCATCCGTCGTCATCCTGTTCCGTTGGACCAAGCTGGAGTGACAGCCACTCATCAAGGGCAGGCACCAGTGCTCACTACTTCCTTTGTCTCTACTTCCACAGGACTTAGATACCTTGTGTTTTTTCGCACAGTGAGCACCTATTGTGTGCTTGGCCCTCTGCTGGGCACTGCAGACAGACAGTGCACAGGCCTTCCTGGCACTGACAGTGTACCATAGAAGCCAACAAGCATGTACTAAGAGTAATGAATAACTGGGATCTGAGAGTGAATATTGCATAGGTCTAGAGGGTGGTATCTAATCTAGTCTAGGGGGCAGTTTCTCTGAAGAGGGGCCCTTTCTGCCAGGGATGAGAGGAATAAGGAAGAGAGAGCAGGTGAAGTTGTTGGGGGAGAAGGGCTAAAAATATATATCCTTGACCTGCAGTGCAGTTATATGGGTATTTGCTTTATAACTGTTGAATTGCACATCTGTGTTTTATACATTTTGCTGTATGTGGACTTTTTTTTTTTAAGATTTTATTTATTTTTAGAGAGGGGAAGAAAGGGAGAGAAACATTGATCGGTTGCCTCTCACACAGCTACAGCTGGGGACCTGGCCCACAACCCAGGCATGTGCCCTGACTGGGAATTGAGCCAGCAACCCTTTGGTTTGCAAGCCAGCACTCAATCCACTGAGCCACACCAGCCAGGGCCAATTTTTTATTTTTTAAGAGAGAAAAGAAAGATGGAGTATGGAAAGGGCCCCCTACAAGTAGCATATGCAAAGGTCCTAAGGGTTAAGGTACATGCCATCAAATCGGTGAACACAGGCCCTGTCGCATAAGTATAGAAACTGAGAGTGCAGCTGAATTTGGAGGGGTCAGCAGGGGGAAGACCACTCAAGGCCCTGCCGGCCACATTAGGGAGTTTGGATTTGATCCTAAGAGCTGCTGGCAGCAAGGAAAGTTTTCAGTAGAAAGGGTAGTACAGACAGATTGATGTTTTGAAACATGGTGCTAGGCTGGGGCTGAGAAGAAATGTGCGTGAGAAAGAAGGGAGCCTGGACCTGAGGACAGAGCAACCGTGGATGCCTCAGCAGGTGGCACTGCCAGGAAATAAGGAGGGAGACACGCAGGTCCCAGATTCAGTGGCAGTGAGCTGTGTAAGAGTCAGGGCCAACTGCTGAGTGTCAGGAGGCTGTTGCAGACCAAGCACATTGAGATTCTTAAGGAAAGAGATGAGCAGGACTAGGCAGCCCTAACCATTATAGCATGCACTATGTGCCAGGCACTATTCCCAACATGGTGATCCAGCAAGGAACAAAGTCATCTCCCATGTAGAGCTGACATTGTCCTGGAGAGAGCAAGGCAGGTAGACAGACAGCTGAGCAACCATGTAATATTATTATGAAAGGTGGCAATAAGATCTGGGGGAAAAACACTCTGGACTACTGTGGAGGAAATAGATTATTTCTAGGGTAGAAGGAATGAGCTTGCTGGCAAAATTTTAAGGGCTGCCGGGAAAGGGATGGGCCCTGTCATGCCCAAACAGGGAACCCCCCACCCACACACTGCAGCCTGTAGCAGCTTGTGCCCACTGATGACTTCAGTGACTTCACAGACTCTCCCCCCAGACGTTCGTCATGGGAGCCTGGCTTCAGGGCACACTACCAGGCGCCAGTGCCTAC